GTTTTTACTGTAGCATTTTTAGTCTTTTACCATTAAATTCACGGTCATTTTTTACAGTGTAGTGACTCTCAAAACAAATGTTTCATTCCTAAATGAATCGATTTAATCTCAATGACTCCCTCATTAACAGTAACTTGCCACTACCTACTGGCAGGTTTAACTTCACATTTGAAGTCTCTTTCAATCTTCTCAAATATCAATAGGTCTAGTCAACATTTAATAAAAAAAAAATAAAAATAAAAAAAAAAGGCATTTGTAACTGCTGGTTAAATGCATCCATGTCCTCTCGGAGCCGCATTAAACGGTTTGTGTAAACGAATCTAAATACTACTTCAGATGCAGATTCAAATTTTTTTATTTTGTAGTAATGAAAGTATTCGTACCAGATGAAGGGGCTCTTCTGATAACCCAAAAATATAAAAACGGAAGAAAGCGTTAGAACGGAGCACAATCTTGCTGCTCAAACTGTGTAGAACAACTTTTAATATTTGCTTCTTTTCCATTTTGAGGTTACTTTAAATACGGAAGTTTAATATTTAAAATTCTGAACAGTGACTTTCACTTCTACCAGTCATTTTCTGGAAATAAATACTTTATCCACCACTGCTGTTGCAGTTCATAAATACAAGAAAGCTGTGAAATAAAACCACACATACACCAACTGCTAACATTCATATATTGTAGACAAAACACATTGCAGAAAAACTTACAATTGTCCTTTTAATAAAGAACAGACATCTTGTGGTAGTCTTATTTGTAGCAGTACAAATCAGTGAATTATTCCCCTCTTTAGCAGTTGTTAAACGATTCCGCAACATTAAACATTCAAAAGATTTGGAGAGAAAAACTGGAGGTCATTTATCATCTCGTAAAAAGAAATTCATTCGATGCAAAAAACGAAGACGCGCAGCACAGACAAACAAGTTCACATCATTGTAGCAAAACATCACGTTGACCGCCTCATTGACAGCAGCTGGAGCCGCAGGAATTGCCCTTACACACGCAGCCAGAGGCGCACTTGCTGCAACCAGACGGGCAACACGGACAGCAACCTGTGAAAACAAATAGCTTTAGCTACCGGATTTTTTTTTTTTTTTAAGTGGATAAATAATCAGTTATCACCAATACTGGGTTGTAGTAGTTCACGTACTCTTCTTGCAGGTTGTACACTGGCAATTAGTGCACTTGCAGGAGGCACCACAGTTGCAAGATCCAGCTTTAAAAAAAAATAAAATTGCACGTTGTTGACATGCTGGTAGCAAGTCTATAGTAACTGCATTTTCAAGCACTCAAAAAAAAAGTCAGCATCAACGTAAATCTGAAACACTTACTCTTGGCGCAATCGCAAGGATCCATTTTTCCTCAAGAGTATCCTTAAACAGCCCAAAAGTCCCTTCGAAATCTCGCTTCACTCAGTTTGTGAATGAGCTGATGTGGCAGGTACCAGATACCTGATCGCGCGCTGGTTTTATACAGTTCGGACTGCACACAGACCGAGTGCAAAAGCCCGCCCGCTCCAGCCTGCACACGGTGACTCATTAACGAAGCTGGGTGCAAACTATCAAACAATCAGGAATCACCATTCCCACCCGGTCACAGCAATGTGTTATTTATACGATTATATAACTACCATTTCTATACCGTTTATATAATTCGATGCTTTTGTATGTTATTTTCTTTTTGGGAGGTGAAAGAGCTTCTTGTTTTTAAAGCAGCTTGTTTTATGTAACTTTTGGCGCTCTAGCGGTTAATAAACAGAACTGCACACATCCCGCGGCAGAACATTCCAACCGGAGCTACTTCTCTAAGTTGATGTCTATGGCGATTCACGCAGGTATGTGTTCCTCCGCAGCGGCGACCAGGCTACAATAGTCCAAATATAAGTACTTATTATAAGTGTACCATAGTGATTCGGAATAAGACAAAAATGCGGTTTGGAAGATGATTTCATGATGTACTTGCTCATTATATACATTTTGCAAATTTTGAACACCGAAAAAGTTACATAGTGCTGCTTTAATAGCATATAAAGTATTTTGATAGAATCAAGGAGAACTATAAAAGACCATACTTTGTCATACTTTATACGTTAATGCCTTTTGTAAAAAAGCAAAGTGGTAGGCTACTTCCCTATTAAATATTAAAATAAGCACGTATTTGAGTATAAATAAGTGATCATTTAAGCAGATACAGGCCCATCGAGTGATCTTTAGAAGATGTTCGTGGAGAGGCAATTTTTGAATTTATGAAAGTTTTATTTTCTGCCATGTAACTGTTTGTCATCAGTTTGTCAATTTGTGCACACGGCACTAAAGTGAAACTAACTGTGCGTGTGTGTGTGTGTGTGTGTGAGAAACTGCACGTGCTCCCCGTCTGCACTCGGCGAGGATGCTGGCAAGACTACAGTAAACAGAAGAATTGGTTTGCACTCGTTTACTCACTCGCTGTTGACCAGGAGTATTTTTCCATTACCCATCACTTCATTACAACTGAAATGTAACGAGTGCAGCGTGTCTTTGCATTTTGGGGGTGAAGATAAATAATTCAAACATTAAAATACCAAACAAACGCGCATTTATAAGAGTTATGCTCACTCAACAAGTAGTCGACGTCTTATGATTCTATGAAATAACTTGATAAAAAATAATCTGTCATTTTAATGGATTGTTATATCCAGTTTTGAGCAAGCTATTCAAAAATGTAGCTAACCAAATAACTACTGTAAAGAAAACATGCCAATGTAAGCTGAAAGCCATTGTTTAAACTTTAAAGGAATGTATGTTAATTTTAATATGATTTCAATAAATTGTTTTTAAACAACCACTTCATTCAGTGCTTTTGTGAGTCTTGTTGCTACTTGCGAATCAGCGAATTGACTTTGAATGAACTTTTTTTTACATTCGACAGAAACATTTCCACATACCAGTCGATGTCTAGGGTGCTCACTGCACATCCTGAAAGCAATCCTCTCCAAGTGATGGGCATCAGTCGGAGTCTGTCCTGCTAGGGAAGAGTCTGAGTAACGTTACACCACCTAGCAGGGAACAAACTAGCGGCTGTGGTAAGAACATTTTCCATTTAATAAAATTTATAAGGTTATTGCAGTGAAGGCAATATCAATATGCACATATCTCCCAGCACAATATAAAGTGGTTCTGCACGAATTCTGTGTAGCTACGCAGAGTTAGCACCCCTAGCCAGCGCATAGAAAACACACACTTGAGTTGTCTGAAGCATGTAGCATGTAGCATGAATTTGGCTAACACACAGATGGCATGCAAATTCTTCGTTTTAAATCCAAATGCATAGTTAATATGTTCAAGTAGAAAAACAAAGTAAAAGTTCATTAAAAAAAAAAAACCGGGTGAGCAGCGTGTAAACTAAAAGGACTAGCAAGAATAGCATGCTAGCAAAAGTGGCTTCATAATGCAGTGACAAGCTGCCCACTGTTACTAGGCAACGGAAGCCCCATCGGACGAGAGGCACAGTAAGAGGTTTATTCTATTACCCAGACAGAAGGGGTAGTTAGATGGGCTACAGAGAGCACTACTAAAGCCTGAATACAGTCAGCTGGTTGGATGTCTCATCCTTCTTTGCCCAAATAGGCATTTCAGTTCATTTATATGCATTCTATTTATGTAAACGATTATTTCGTTGACCGGGACGATACAGAGTAACATTACTGCGCAGTGTTGAGCAGCAAATGTTCTATATGCCTTTAGCTAATAGCTAATAAGCAGCACTCGTCCCTGGTTAGGCTTTTAGTGTGGACCTACGAAACGACATCAATCAGCATCCAATCAAAATGTCAACATAGTAATATATGAACTTAACAAATTACCAATTATGTAAACCCTAATAAAATAATGAATGATCAAATTAATAATTCTGTTTAAGGTTTTAATAGTTATATTAAATTGTTTCAATTTTGTTTGTCTTTTGAATTCCATGGGTAAATTTCATAACTACTGACAAAGGCTGTTTTACTTCTTGGTACCCTAATTATTGCTTTTTGCACCCCTTGTAGTAATTTCTTTTTTTTTCTCGTTTCATTATACTGTAAATTGACAAATAACCATAAGAGCAAACAATTTACTCATAAAAAATGAATATTAGAAATGAAAAATTGTAGATTACATTTCCAAAACTCAGTAAATTCTCTTTATATATATATATATTATGTGTGTGTGTATACATGTTATTTTACAACAATGCTGCATCGTTGATGGTTGATTTTTTTTTGTAGTTAATGCTGTGAATGTTCACCAAGCCATTGTTGCAACATATGTTTATGGTGTTTTCATTGGATTTTTTTTTTTTAGTAACAGATCGGATCTTACTGTTGTGCCACCATGTTAGTGCCCATCTTTACTCTTAAACTTAATCATAAAATTAACCCTCGAATGGTTGCCATTGGAAAATATGATGGGATACACCCATGCCTCACAGCAGCCACACAAGCAGGGAAGGTAAGTTAAAAGTATTATTATATTATGTAACAATACAGGTGCATCTCAATAAATTAGAATGTCGTGGAAAAGTTCATTTATTTCAGTAATCTTATGAAGTATTCTAATTTGTTGAGAGAGCTTAACATCTCCACTCCGAATGGTACAGTTAATCCACCTTCACTCTGTCGCAGCACTTTTTACCTGCACTACTATTATAATTTTTTTTTGTCTTCAGAGCTACATTAAAATGTCATCCCTGGTTGACATGCACAGAGCCCCACATATAACATGCAGGGGAAAAAACAAGAAATTGTGGCCATGAATAAAGAATTAATTCCCTCAACTTATTGATTGTTTTCCTTCTTTTAGGTAAATTGAGAACATTGCTACAATTTAACTAAAATAAGAGAATGAATTAATTGTCACAGGATCTATTTTTTTTTTATCCTGCATGTCATGTGCGGTGCTCCGGAGACATGACGTTTTAAATGATCAAATTGTCATATTCTTGGTGCTGCCCTCCTTCAGAAACCGTCATTAGAGCCGTGCTGATATTTGCTGAAGGGATTTTTGAAGGCGAGAGTCATGTTGTTCATCCTAGCGTTCAAAATCTCTCCGGCTGTGTCCGTGTCCCCATCATTCCTCCAAAAGACATTCCAGTGGATTTTCACATTAAAGCCTTTGTGGGGGATCAGCTCCAGGCATGACGAAGCGATATCGTCCTCTTTTGGAAGGCCAAACAAAGTAGTTTCGCTTTCACAAAAAAACACAGCGCCTTCATGACATGGCGGCGGCGGCAACAATACTACAGCAAGAATAAAAGTTACGCCTTCTTTCTTTGCGTGAACATTTGGGCGGTGTTATGCAAATCTTCCCGGATAGTGACGTAGGTATGTGGGGGCGTGTTAGAACGAGCCGTTTTAGGTAGGTGTGGCTGACTATTATTGGATTTGAGATTTTAGTCTTTGCAACTTTACAGATCTTCTTTATGCACCAAGAGCTTGTAACACTCCAAAGAGAAAGGAAAAATTGAAATCGCATCATATGACCCCTTTAACAAAAATTAGTGCTGTTAATTTATTTTGTAATTTTACATTGCAGTTCCTACTATGGCTGTGAGAAAATCCAAATACTTTAGGAGGAATATGAGACTTCTACAGAATTTCATGGGAAGATAACAGTGAAACCTGTCACACCATGAGAAGGGTCTATTTAAAGGGAGCTGTACTTTGCTCCCTGATTCTGCTGGTGCTTCTCTTTCTGCTGTTGTATGCACATCAAAGAATAACGCCCGTATGGGGGACTTTGCACATTGAACAGGGGTCCACCAAATCGATAACCCTCCTCAGTGGAGCAGCAATGGGACAGCAAATAAAGCCAGTCCCTTCAAAATCTCCAGACATACCTCCATGCAAACCTGAGGTTCAGATCAAGCCTAAAGCACAAGGATCATCAAGGGTCAAATCTCAGAAAGCACGTAGCAAAGCAAAGTCTAAATTTCGCCAGCCCTCAACGACAGCAAGGCTGCTTCCAACACATGTTTCCTTTGACTTTGACGATTACCTTCGAAAGAAAGATCAACGGGACTTCAAGCTGCTAATCGATCAACCAACAAAGTGTTCTGGACCGGAAGGAGCCCCTTACATGCTGATCGCCATAAAATCAGTAGCAACAGACTTTGACAAACGTCAGGTTGTTCGAAGGACATGGGGACGAGAAGGTGTGTTCCAGAAAAATATGAACGTCAAGAGAGTATTTCTTCTCGGTGTGCCCCAAAATCAAACAGCGCTCCCATTATGGGACAAACTGTTGGGATATGAGAGTCACGCTTTTAGTGACATACTCCTGTGGGACTTTGAAGACACCTTCTTCAACTTGACACTAAAAGAAATCCACTTCCTACAGTGGATCAATGTCAGCTGTCCCAAAGTAAAGTTTATTTTTAAGGGTGATGCAGATGTGTATGTGAACATTGACAATATCCTGGAGATGCTTGAGGGTCAAGAGACCAGTAAGGATCTTTTTGTTGGTGACATCATTGTCCATGCCAAACCAATTCGCAGGCGCAACAGTAAGTACTATGTGCCAGAGTTTATTTACGGCCAGGGGATCTACCCGTCCTATGCGGGTGGAGGCGGCTTTGTCATGTCGGGACATACCGCATTGAAGCTCCACCTCGCCTGCCAAGAGGTGGAACTCTTCCCCATTGATGATGTCTTTCTAGGCATGTGTTTGCTGAGGATTGGCCTTCAGCCGACTCGTCACGAGGGCTTCCGCACCTTTGGAATCGTGCGACCGTCTGCTGCACCCCACCTCCAGGTCTTCAACCCCTGCTTCTACAGAGAGCTGATGGTGGTGCACAGCTTGACGGTCCCACAGATCTGGCTCATGTGGAACCTTCTGCATGACCCTAACATTCAGTGTCACAGCAGTCAGGATCCCACGGTTTTTCCCTTTCAGTGGAGCGACAAGATCGGCAAGACGGCTAAGAACAAGGCAAAGGAGAAGCTTGGGAATGACTATGGGATGAAAGTGTTTGTGGAACATTAACTCCTAGAAAATGAATGTACTTTGAAATTACTTTAAAACAGACAGGAAAGGCAAGGAAAAACTAAAGCAATAATTCACCATCATGTCAATCAACTCCACATGACATGCAGAAGAAAATTGGATATCATTTTAATTTAGTTAAATCATGGCTGCGATTCAACTAAAACCAGGGAAATAATTAGTTAGTTCAATCATTAGGCCATGATTAACTAAAATGAGAAAATTAATTACAAATTAGTAAGTTAATCTAATTTTTTTATTGTGGCCATGTTTTACTAACTTCTGTCATTTTAGTTAAATCACTACAGCAATTTTGAGGGAACAAATTAGTACAACGTGGCCACGATTTAACTGAATTAAAATGCTCTACACATGGCTACAATTTACCTAAAATGAGGGAACAAATTAATAAGATGTGGGAACTATTTCTTAATTTGTGGCAACAATATATTGTTGACTTCCTTCCATGATTGTTCAATTATGGATGTTGGACTGCTCTTTTTCATACAAAGAAAACATGTAATGACCATCAGCTGTCGTGCTCTAGAAAATGAAAAAAAAAAACATCTTAAAAGTGTTTGTGCAACTCATAAGCTATATTCCAAGTGCTTTGAAGCCATATAATAGTTTTATGTGAGATATTTAAGTCATTATTCACTGAAAATCCAGGACTTGGCATCAAACCTGGAGTGATCAGCATTGACATATGCAATATCTGAATGTATCTTAACATTTCAGGTTTGGAACAACATGAGGATGAGTAAACGATGACAACATTTTTATTTTGGGGTGAACTATCCATCTAAAAGACTGTTTAAAAAATTGCAAAACCTAATATGAAACCTAAGCTTGCAAAAGCTTTTGTAGATGGTTCTTTAAAAATGATCTTTGTAAACAAATAGTTTCATGGTTGTATCATTTACTCAAACTATACTAGACTTTAGCAAAATGATAAATATGTTGTTGTATAGGAATCCCAAGGAAATCAGAAATCAAAATGAAATCTAATGGTATGTTGACGATGTTCTCATACGTCAAAAAGTACTGGGTTATGTATCATAGAACAGTCCATTACTGTATATATTCTTTATTAGAAAAATGGCACTATTTATCAAACGGAACACATTTTTTCTTTGATTAGTGTGCTGTATTGTTTTGGATGATCTGCTGTCTTTTGGATTTAAACTGAATTAAATGATTGAATTCGAAAAGTAGCCTGCTGTGAACATGAACTTACTACTACACTGTTTTAAAGTGAATAAAAAATGTTTTTAACAAAAGACAAAGGAGGCGTCCATTCTTTTCCCCCATATTTATTACATCCATTCTTTAAATATTTTTTTGTTGAACACACTGTAACAGTTTTAATGAACAAAATGCAAAATTAGCAGTTTAAAAAAAATTGATAATGCTTTCAGTAGATTCAATGAGGAAACTAAAATCCAATGGTCACCGCATTGTTGCACCATTCTGAGCTACTGACAAACATATACCAGAAATTACTTTAAAACAGACAGGAAAGGCAAGGAAAAACTAAAGCAATAATTCACCATCATGTCAATCAACTCCACATGACATGCAGAAGAAAATTGGATATCATTTTAATTTAGTTAAATCATGGCTGCGATTCAACTAAAACCAGGGAAATAATTAGTTAGTTCAATCATTAGGCCATGATTAACTAAAATGAGAAAATTAATTACAAATTAGTAAGTTAATCTAATTTTTTTATTGTGGCCATGTTTTACTAACTTCTGTCATTTTAGTTAAATCACTACAGCAATTTTGAGGGAACAAATTAGTACAACGTGGCCACGATTTAACTGAATTAAAATGCTCTACACATGGCTACAATTTACCTAAAATGAGGGAACAAATTAATAAGATGTGGGAACTATTTCTTAATTTGTGGCAACAATATATTGTTGACTTCCTTCCATGATTGTTCAATTATGGATGTTGGACTGCTCTTTTTCATACAAAGAAAACATGTAATGACCATCAGCTGTCGTGCTCTAGAAAATGAAAAAAAAAAACATCTTAAAAGTGTTTGTGCAACTCATAAGCTATATTCCAAGTGCTTTGAAGCCATATAATAGTTTTATGTGAGATATTTAAGTCATTATTCACTGAAAATCCAGGACTTGGCATCAAACCTGGAGTGATCAGCATTGACATATGCAATATCTGAATGTATCTTAACATTTCAGGTTTGGAACAACATGAGGATGAGTAAACGATGACAACATTTTTATTTTGGGGTGAACTATCCATCTAAAAGACTGTTTAAAAAATTGCAAAACCTAATATGAAACCTAAGCTTGCAAAAGCTTTTGTAGATGGTTCTTTAAAAATGATCTTTGTAAACAAATAGTTTCATGGTTGTATCATTTACTCAAACTATACTAGACTTTAGCAAAATGATAAATATGTTGTTGTATAGGAATCCCAAGGAAATCAGAAATCAAAATGAAATCTAATGGTATGTTGACGATGTTCTCATACGTCAAAAAGTACTGGGTTATGTATCATAGAACAGTCCATTACTGTATATATTCTTTATTAGAAAAATGGCACTATTTATCAAACGGAACACATTTTTTCTTTGATTAGTGTGCTGTATTGTTTTGGATGATCTGCTGTCTTTTGGATTTAAACTGAATTAAATGATTGAATTCGAAAAGTAGCCTGCTGTGAACATGAACTTACTACTACACTGTTTTAAAGTGAATAAAAAATATGTTTTTAACAAAAGACAAAGGAGGCGTCCATTCTTTTCCCCCATATTTATTACATCCATTCTTTAAATATTTTTTTGTTGAACACACCAAAATGCAAAATTAGCAGTTTAAAAAAAATTGATAATGCTTTCAGTAGATTCAATGAGGGTAACAGTTTTAATGAACAAAATGCAAAATTAGCAGTTTAAAAAAAATTGATAATGCTTTCAGTAGATTCAATGAGGAAACTAAAATCCAATGGTCACCGCATTGTTGCACCATTCTGAGCTACTGACAAACATATACCAGACCATACTGATTTATTATCCATCAATGCAACGATTATTGCATTAAAAACAAACAACAACAAAATAATCCGTGTACGTGTTTCTGAAATCTACAGAAGTAAAAATATCTGAGATACAAAACGCCACATTGCAATCAATTTAGATACACACTTTTTTAATCGAGGATAAGCCCCATTTCCAGAAATGGGTTAAATGTACTGAATCCACAAAAATAATCACTTTGGAGGATGGGGAAGAACATACAATATAGAGGGATACAATACATAGCATTAATATGCACATTACACTGTATGGAGTTTGTCCATTTCTAATTACAATCCTCAGGACGATCATTCAATCATTCTGATGCAAAAATAGGATAAAGTCTGAAGAGGAAACAACACAGCCAAAACCCATTTGATGAAAATTAAGCATTCACTTGCTCCTGGCATTAAAAAACAACAACATCCACCTGAGATTGGGCAGGCAATCAGCCCATCAGACAACACTTTCTCCGGTTTTAAAACTCCCTAAATGACACTAAAACAGCAGTTGTGTTATTCCTTATTGACAATGGAGGTTCCAATTGTGCATTTTAAATCTGATCCTCAGCCCTAAAGAGTTTTAAGATCGAACCATATTTATTTCACTTTAAACTCATTCAAGTGGAACTTCACACCATTTTCAAAAAGTACAGCCACAACCACTTTGCGAACCTCAAACCATGAAGGGCTACCTACATGTTCCGTAATATTTTTGACTCTGACTTATTTTTTTTTTGTTGTGTGTGCTGCATTTAATCAATTAAATACTTTGAAGCTTATTTTCGCTGTGAAATAAAAAAAATTAAAAAGGTAATCACTACTTTCTATCTGACCATTCTGATCTTTTTTTCAGGCCATCCTTTCTTCCCCCTCTGAATTCCGAGATTACATCTCACACTTTTACAGAATTGTAAGAAAAAAGTCAGAATTGTGAGATAAAGTGGCAATTGTATTATTGATTCCGTGCCAGAAATAGGCTTCTTCTATAGTAAACTAGCCCTTCATGACAAGAGTTCATTACCCAACAAGTGTGTTTTTTTCTTAGTTCCTCTAATATTCAGGTACGTTTTTTTTTTAAACAAAAGGACGATAACTATCAATTTAGCTTTACATGCTCCGACATACACAAAGCAGTTTTTTCAAACAATTTCATTTACAGAGAAAAAGTCAAGACAGGCTCAGTGGGAAATGAGGCACTATGTTAATAGCATCTTCCTTGTAAATGACCAAAAGCTAAGGGTAAAATATTTTAAAATCACCACTGATGGCCTTCCAACACAGTTAATGAGAAGTTACTGTAACAGAAAGCTAAAAATACCAGAATTAGCCTGAACCACACACTGCAGAAGCTTGATGGGAGGTGGGAATAACACCAGAGAACTGGAGCTCGACAGCCACAGGTGGCTACGCTGCAAGGCAGCACAGCAATGAACAGTAGTTAGAGGTGAACAAACCATCTACTAAAGTTAAAATGCTCTAGTCATCTCCGTTAAATCCTCCTGAAAGTGGTCAAATGTAGGCGACTTCTTCCAGGAAAACAGTGGAGGGAAGCTGCTATAGTGACCCTCAAGGGCTGGCAAAGAAAACCAGAAACTCTCTGATCTGTTAGCAGTGTAGGAGGAGTTCCAGACGTCAGCTGATCTGATACGGTACTGTTAGACCGATTAAACAATGAAAATTGTGTATGTTATTTACAGATCTGTACAGGCATGGACATGGCAGACATGGCTACAGAAAACATCACGTCTACTTACTACGGAAACAACGGCAAAAAATCTCTAGAGTAAAAAGCAAGAAAGAAAGCTTTAACGCATTAAAAACCAATCAATCGTTTGAGTTGCTATGCTAAAAACAATTCAGGAACTGTATGGATCAAATCAAAAGGGAATGTTCTTACGATGTGAATTTAAAATGACAGAAAGCTAACTGTTGTTTCTTCTTTGGCTAGTGTTTTGGCAATCAGGTGACAGAAGACAATTCTGCAGTTAAGACTTTAGGATACTGAATAAGGTAAAAGAACTTCACATCTTTCTACTGTGGACAAAAAAGAAAGATGCAAACAGAATGGACGGCATACAGCGGGAAGGAGAACAGAGATGGGTGGATGGCTTTTCT